AAATATGGGGTTTCTTTTCTCCTCTAAGCCCTGGTGGAGCAGTGGTTACAAGTTGGGTTGCTACTCAAAAGGTTAACAGTTAGAACCCCCCAGCCTCTCTATGGGAGGAAGACAAGGATTTCTACTCGAGTAAAGCGTTAGAGTCCTGGAAACCCTCAGGGGCAGGGCTACCTTTTCCTACAGGGCAGTTGAGTGTTGGAATTGACGGTGGAAGTGAGTTTAGTTTTGGAGATTTTCCTCCGCTAGAACAATTCCTAGGAGATAAATACATGTATTATTTACAGAACTTCACTGTGTATAGTCTCAAATGCAAGTTAAAATGTTAAATACTATTTTATGAGTAAAAAGTACAATTTACATGTTTTTCTATAAGAATTGACGTGAAGCTATGGCTTCTAAGAAATGATATTGAAAAAAAAGGAAATGACATTGTTTTAATTATTATAAGATAGGAGTCCTCAAATGTCATCTGTTCTTCTCCATAGAGAAAGAAGTCCTTTCACAAATACACGAGCGAAAAACAGAGGGAGTTTTACTAGTTTTGCTTACCAACACTCTGAGGCTGAATGCAGACTCAGTCATCCATTTGGAGTGCCCTCCCACATACGTAAACATTGGCAAGCAGCTTCCTCCTCTGCAGTTTCTTCCAGGCTGCACACCAGGCTAGGATAGGGCAGCACGGAGAACACAAGAAACCACTTCTGTCGGCGCCCTTCACATCTTCCTTGCTTTCCAGTCTCTTAAGTGAAAATCTGTGTCTACCTTCATCATATTCTGACAAAATGCAGTCGTACAAGAACGCTGAGGTCCTGTACTCCACTTTTCTGAAGGGAATACTTTTTACAATTGGGAAATCATAGTTCTCCAATAACTCTCCATTTGGGATCCAGATGAATAGGCCATTTGGGAAGAGATTTTATAGAGAATTAATTTGGGATTATGGGAGTGAGTTTTAGGGAAATTGGTGATGACAGAGTTAACTTAGTATATGAGTTTTGCAAACTTTAATAAAGAGAACCTCTGTGATATTTTCTCATCTATAAAAGGGAAAATAATAATGCTAATTTTGACCAGCTACTTCAAGATTTAAAAAAGTGTTCATTATTTATTTTGAAGATATAGCAGAACATTGTCCCTTGCTGTGAAAAAGCTTATATACAAGTGAATTGCTCCGGGAGGAGATGAGGCAGTCAGGGTGC